TATTTATAAATTAATTAAGTGATAGACTATTATGGATTTCATTTTATTATTTCCATTACATTGTTTATGCACAATATTATTTACAATCTTAAACAAAAAATTAAATATTACAAATTTGAAAATTCCGCAAATTAGAAATAATATAATACCATTTAGATTGAAATCCATACATTTTCCCATCAGCATTTCTTATTTATACATTCTTGCTTTAGCTGTTTTGTTTATTGATTGTGCACATCCTTAAAAAAAATTCTACCTCATGTTATATCAAATTGTGTAGACGTAAACATAAATATTTTTTGCAAAGGATATCTTCTTTAAATATGTTTTACCCCAACCTTTAACTATTTTTAAAAACAATTCCATACATAATGACTTGTACGGCCTTTACGTTTCCCCCAAGAGCAATCCATTAAAATAAAACATCATAAAAAACACACTTCTCACAGACCTTCCTCTCCACCAATACGAAAAGTTATAATGCATTCCGTTTCTCCTGCAATGAAGCTGCTCTGTTCTACAACCAGGGTCACCGTTATCCCAAGGCTCAAGCTAATTGCACACGCTGAAGCCCACACACGCGTAAGCACACACACACACACACACACACACACACACACACACACACACACACACACACACACACACACACACACACACACACACACACACACACACACACACACACACGCACACACACACACACACACACACACACACACACACGCACACACACACACACACACACACACACACACACACACAAATAACTTACCCATCAAGAACTGTTTTGCCTTGAACGTCCCAGCCACTGACATCAGTCTTCTCCAAACCACCCCGATCCCATTTTCACCTGACCCTTCCTGGGAAAAGAATGAGTGACATTGTCTCGTGAGCCGCTTCAAGATGGCCTTAATGGTCCAAGATCATGTTGCTCCACTGACACACCATTAAGTGCTAAATGTTCAGAACTGCATTACTGCAACCTCCGAGATTAAGAGTGATAAGGTAAAGCACTATTTCCCCTCCTCTCCCCTCTTCCTATCTACTCCCACGGCTGCATCCGTAGCTTTCTAAGAATGAATTATTCATACCTCCAAATCATCAGCTGCCCAAGATAAAGGAGCTCTAACCACTTCTCAAATGTATTGATTTCTGTAGCGTTCGCATGATGGGCGCAAGAAATCGTGTCCAGCGGAGGCTGAAATCTGAGAACGTTAGATAAGTCGAAGTAGTTTTAGGGAGTTCTTTCCATACCTATGTTATGGCTGTCAAGGACACGAGGCCTTGAGACAGAAAGCCAGATGGAGAAAGCCTGTCATATCCTTTACAAGGTTTTGTTGTGAACACAGACGGATTATGATGTGAGTGTCTTGAATGAAGCAATATCAACACCGTGTCAGAGGCATTTGAAACTTTGAAAGCCATTGCCCTGCAAGCTGTTCCTATAGGGTGGAAACCTGTGCGCATTCAGCATTATAAGCACATTTGCTCATCAAAAATGAATACTAATTAATTAAGACAATGAATAAAGAACTTTGAAAATGTTGTTGAAAAGTTGATTTAGTTTTTAAATCTGAAATATCAACTAATATTCAGATTGATTCAGTAGTAAGATTTAGCAGATTTAGGGTATTGCATATCCAGTGTCTTATCATCAGTGTTTATGTTGTAAAAAAAAAAAAAAAAAAAAAAAAAAAAAAAAAATAAAAAAAAAAAAAAAAAAAAAGACTTAAATTAGGAGTTTATATCAACATTGTTTTTGTTTGTTTGTTTACTTTTTAATTCATCTTAGCCATTCATTTACATGTCTATTGAGTTTTGAAAGCCTGGAACAGCAAAACTGTGGAACCGCTGTGGAACCAGACATGACACAGCCAATGGACAAGTTTCCTAATTTAACTTGGTATTCTTTCTATTTTCTAAATATGTATCATGTGTAATTCAACGTGTCACTTCATGTTAATTTAGAATTACTTGTGAAATGTAGTTTTTTTTTGTTTGTTTTTTTCATTCAGTGTAGTAATAGTTTTAGTCTGAACCTTTTTTTTTTTTCATTTACACAACAACAACTTTTTTGGTACCTAAAAATACTACATTTTGTCAAATTTTGATAAGCTGCTGAACAAGCAATGAGTCAGCCAATCAGATGAAGGAAAGTGTTCTGTGACTGAATTCAGAATTCATTTTATTTCAAAATACTATATTTAAATTATTGTAAAACTTCATGTTGCTTTGTAGTAATTTATGAAATTACCCCAGTTAACTCTATTCTTTTTTTTCACTGTAAAAATCAAACAGTTTTACTCAGAATGTGTGCTTTATTATTTGCACAACAACATTTTTGGTGCCTGAAAATGTTACATTTTGATTGGCTGCTCACCAGCCAATCAGAGTAATGTAAGAGTTTCCTGCTGGAGCAGTTCTTTCTACTGAATGTCATGCTTAATTCAATGTGCCACTTCATATTCCTTTGTAATTATTTGTGAAATTTCCAAAGTTAACTTTTTTTCTTTAGTGTAATCAGACATTTCGCAATTATTTTTTGTCTCTTCATTTACACAACATTTTTGAGTCCCAAAAAATCATTATCGTCTTCCAGGAAACACATTTTTGCTTAAACCTTTAAAGTCTTAGTCATTGAAGTCATTTTCATAGCTTTTGACGTGATTGTTGACACAGTTTCCATGGAAAACTTACCAACATTGCAAAAGATACATTTTCAGTTGTTGATTAAACTTACTTAGTCTGTGTTAGGGGATACCATGGTTATGTAATCAGTTCTATATACCTTTTAGAGGGGTGTAAGCAATAACAATTGAATTTAAAAAGGTCAAAAGGTTGATAAATTATTTTACGATAGCTGTTTTATGTTAAAATTTGATTAAATAGCAAAAAGCAGGAAATAATTATGTGCCAATGACACCACCACATTGAAATGTTTGGAAACACTTTACATAAAAGCTATATAAAAAATATTATTTACTTAAAACTTTTATAATCATGACATTACATGAATGTGAATTATATTTTCTGCATGCTTATGAGAACTGTTATTAAGTGTCATTTGCTCAGTCATGCTATTTTAAATGCAAAGATTACACTGTTTGTTATGATAACTTGATATAAACAAATACATTACAATCAACCTTTATCTTTTGTCATGACAACTTGACAAAACCAAGACAGCATAACTTGTCATAAATCTGTTATAATCATTATTGTCATGAAGCCATTATAATCATGTTATTAATATATAATTATGATCAGTGTCATTCATTTTTAAGGACATTTTAATGACAAACTCAGTTTGTACCACAGTAGAAAAGACAATAATGATGGGGTTATAAAATTCATGACAAATTTATAATGGCTTCATGACAATCATGTTTATTACAGATTTATGACAAGTTTTGTTGTCTTGGTAATGTCAGGTTGTCATGACAAAGACAAAAACAGGTTGTTATGTATTTATGTCAGGTTGTCATAACAAACAACATCTTTGCATTTGAAATGGTATAACTGAATTAATTACACTTAATGACAGTTGTTTTAAGCATGCGTACAATCTCATTCACATTCATGACGTGAAAGGACAGTCTTATGAACAATCCTTAAAGTAAAGTGTCACCAAATGGTTACAGGAAAAATGCATAATACATTTCAAACAATGCCAAACTAAAATCCTTAAAAAAAAGAAAAAAAAAAAAAACCTAGAGTGGACACCAAAAATGATGACAAGGTGATAAGAGATGCATCATGCACAATTTAAACACGGTTCATTATTAGATCATAACTGAAATTGATATTTAGTCATGGTCACCGAACACACCATCATATCGTGCAACCTTACTCCAGGGAGGAAAAAAGGACATATAAGTCGACAGCAGAAATAGATCAAATCTGAAATCTGATTCCTTTGCAAAAGAAGTCTCACACAATAGTAGAACATCCGCTTTAAAAGTTGAACTAAATCAAGAGGAATATTGAAGATTGACAAGCAGCTCACAAAAAAAAAAAAAAAAAAAAACACCAAAGTAACCTTGAAGTAACAGTTATAAATGCCGCTGTAAATTCGAGTCACACTAGGCTGATCGCCAATTAGCAGTATGTGTCAGCTTTAAAAGAAGCCTGACAATAAGAAGCTTGTTCTCATTTCTCACAAGCACTTACTTGTTTGAAAAGATTAGTGCATACAGTTTGAAAGGATATGAAATTGTTAGTTAGTGGAGCGAGGTGTGCAAATGATGAAAAATCCATCAAGAATGTTAAAAATAAAGCATTTATATTACGTTTATCCCAGCCAAACCAAATGCATTTTCAAAAGCTCATAAAAAGAGGGTTAATCTGGGTGGTATGCAGCTTGTGTACATTTTATCTGGCTATTGATAGAAGAGATCATCTTATTCACGTTCATGAAAAAAAGGAATGTGCCTGAAATGTGTCATCATCATTCAGTGTGTAACATATATTTATGTAAAATTCATATACATGCTATACTCTGACATGACCTTATTAAACTTTATGAAAATAACATGTGATTATATAACATTTTATATATATTATTAAACAAGCAGGTTGGGTCTGAAGGTTAATGGCAGTGAAGAGTGTTTTGTGGCTGAACCATGATCCTGAAACACAGTCTTTTGTTCAAATTAATCTGGTGGGGTGTGCAGTGGATGGCAGAGGGGTGTCGCAGATGATAGTATGCGGGCGGGGGTGTCGCGGACAAAAGTGAAGAGTTGGGTAGTCGCGGAAGAAAGTGAAAGTGGGCTTGTGCTGGCTCGAGGTTGCCTTAGTGCCCCCCACCAGTACCAATATACAGCCATATCGCTATGCTACGAGTGTGATATTGCGTTTAAACATATTGTGTGTACACACACACACACACACACACACACACACACACACACACACACACATATATACATATATATATATATATATATATATATATATATATGCCTAATACCCTAACCTGCCTAGTTAACATAATTAACCTAGTTAAGCTTTTAAATGTCACTTTAAACTTTATAGAAGCATCTTGAAAAATATCTGGTCAAATATTATTTACTGGCATCATGACAAAGATAACATAAATCAGTTATTAGAAATGAGTTAACAAAACTATTGCATTTAGAAATGTGCTGAAAATAATTTCTCTCCCTAAACAGCAATTGGGGAAAAAATAAACAGGAGGGCTAATAATTCTGGGGGGGTGGGGGCAGGGGGGGATCTGACTTCAACTATACATATACTAAAACTAATTTCATTGTTCATACAGTTAAAGGGAACCTACTGTATGGTGAAAATCAACTTTTGTAGGCTGTTTGGACAGAACTGTGTGTAGGTATAGTGTGCCCACAGTCATATTAAACTGATAGAAACACAAGTCTCTTTTTTTTAAGGGCCACAGCAACATGATGATGCAGGAATGCGGTTTTTCCCATCTGACAGGCACCATGTCTCCATAATAACATGTACACAGTAACACAGAATATTTGCAAATAAACTGGGATTGAATCATGTTTTACAACTCTCTGTGATTAACTGCACCAATAATAATATAATAAGTTTAAAACGTTTTTAAAACTGAGCATGTTTGTAATAAAGACAATAAAATCGCTATGCAATTGGTGTTAGTAACTGCTAATATGTGTGTGTGGATGTGTGTGTGTACTTTAAACGGAATTTGTGTGTGACTCATCATTTCAGAAAGGCTTGAAACAACTCCACAAATACTTCAAATAAACTTATTTGGTATTTTTGACGCCTGACCTTATTTCAGCTTCA